AACTAGTGAAGCTCCCAACCCGGCCCAGCAAGACTCAAAATTGTAAACACCCTGGTTTTCATCAGCAGAGTCATAAAAGCATTAAATCCACTGCTAATAAATCTCTCCCCTTAAATCTTTGCCCTTTATCAATACCACCAAGAGTAGTTCCGCATTCTCATTTCTTATTCTTCACTTCTAGTGATTCCCAACCTTATTGGCTATACATTAGAACCAGCTGGGGAGCTTTAAAAATTCACCATGCCCAGGTCTCACCTGAACTATGAATTAAATCAGGGGTGGGGTGGGGGACCCAAGCATCGTCATTTGTTAATCTCCCCAGCAAATGTGCAGCAAGACACAGGGAGATGCCACCATGGTGCAGGGAGCTCTAGAAGACATGGCTAGGGGCTCACTTCCTCCTCAGCCCAGCCCTTGTAGTATCTGCTAGAGGGGGTGGGATAGGAGCCACACGCATGCACTGGTTAAGACAGAGATGGCAGTCACATGGTTCCACTAGCAGCTGTGTCTTCTTGGGACCTGGGCACTTTTTAGTGGCCTTCATTCTGATGCGTTAACAAGTAGACTTGAAGGGGGCTGGGCAGAGCTTGCGAGAAGCAGGCTGCTCAGTGGGACGGAACGCAAACCTTTGTACAATGGTGCTGTATGCAGCGGTTAATTTCTTCATTCTCATCGCAATGCGGCTCACGAGAGACTCCTGGAATGTCTTTATCCATCACAGATGGTTTGGGAGGATGATAAATTAATAGGGTTATCAATGGAGACATGGCTGAAATGGTTAAATGGCCACATCTTCAATGGCGGCTCTAAAGAGAAAGAGCCTCCAAAGTCCATAAAGAAGACAAATGATAAACAAAACCTTCTCTCCTTTGACAGATTCCAGGACGAATATCATTCACAAACCATTCTGTGGAGAAAAGGGAGAATTTATCTCCTGTGACTCAGTATAGGAGGGCAGCCCATGCTATAATGAGACCTTCCCGGCGCTGTGAAATCGTGCTGAATAGCCGGAGAGTGCAGCCGCCTGTTCCCGGGGCATGTTTATTACGGCCCTTTGTATAGGCCTGCACTGCCAGCCCCTGGTTTGGGTATAAACTAGAGGAGGGGAGAAAGAACCCAACAAATTTGTTGCTATGAAACTTCCTAACTGGCAGACTACATAATAATGTTTAGACTCCAATGGCCTCGCTCCAAGCTGTTCTTGTCTGTGTCCAGCTCTGCTCTAAACTTAACAAGGTCCTAGGTCAACCAATCTCCGCCAGTGGATGGATGGCCTCAGCCCCAACCCTGGCCTCCCAGATCCTGGGAAGTCAGGAGGCAAGGAGGTGCTTGGGACCATTCCCAAGCATCCTCAGATGAATTGCCATCTTGGGAGTCCAGAAGTTGTCTCAGTTTCCCTGTGAAATTTGTCTAAAACAGAGCAAAGACTTGCAGCTTCCATCTGAGGCCCTAAATGAGGCTCCTTGAGGATAATCCCATAGGGCTCAGGCCTGGGCCTGCTACATTCACATAAGATTCTGGAAGGCGCTGAGAGAAAATCCTACCTTTACATCAGAGACCAAGATGCTGGGGCCAAAATCCTGTCAGCATTTCCTTAAACTATCTGGCCCTGGGAGGACAAGGCAGGGGAGACTGTGAAGAAGGATGATGGAAAGACCCATCTGAAGAGCTCAAGAGGACACATACCCCTGCATCAGTCTCTGAAAGCTGGCTCCAGTCAAGATCTCAAAGTCTGTTTGGTAAGGAATGACCTCTAGGGGAATTCAGGATCCAAAGTTCCCACGTTCCCGGAGCAAGCAAAATGATAACTTTCAGGGGATGCCTTTCTTCACCAATCAGATAGTTGGTCTTTTCATGTCATATTTTCCCTCACCAATTAGCTAGCAGGATCTTTTAGGCTACGTCTTTTCTCATCAATCACAGGACAATGCTTTTCTTCATCCAGTCAGTGTGAGGGCTGACCAGGGAGTGTTCTTCTTCACCAATCAGGTGGCAGGATCCTGGAAGCATTGGCTTTCCTCACCCAGTACTTTCCTCAGAGAGTACTGAGGGTCCTACCCTTTCCCACAACATTTCCTCAGCAGGGATGCGATGCGGCATGTCCTTCTGGAAAAATCCATCCTTAAGTTCTCCTCTCCTGTGGCTTCTCCCAGCTTTCCCACCAAAGTTGGGATAGCTGTTGTCCCGGGACTGGGAAAGAAAACTCAGACATAGTACTGGAAAGAATAAAACAAGACTATATGCTTCTCTGCCTGCTTCAGTTCCTCTTGCGACCCTGCAAAAGGAAGCTAGACATTTCCATGCCATTAACCAGAGTAGCAGAGCCTTGAAGAGTGACTCTTCAGGTTCCTACAGCCCTGTGGCTTCCTGGCCTCCCTGTCTCTGAGCAGTGAGAAGTAGGACGTTTCCCTCGCTCCTCAGCCCAGCATGGTCTGATCACCCTGACCCTGCTCATTCCCACCGCTCCAGGAGACACGTTTTCCCACTTCGACAGCAGAAACTGGCACAACAAAAAGTAACCAGTGCCCTTCCATGTGGGGTCCAGCAGCAGTAGCCCAGACGGTCTCACCCAAGAGCACAGGACAGCCCACCTCTGTCAAGTGGCCCCTGTTGATTAAAATTTCTGACCATACCCCAAAGAAATCTATAGACAAGCCAGCTGTTTCCAAGACCCTGATCTCAATTTTCTTTCTGTAAAAAACAAAAGATATTCTGGGCACAGGTGGAGGAATGGAAGATGTTCCAGTCTCATCTCTGCAAGTGTTCTTCATGCATTTCTTTGGGCCAGCCACCTTCCTATTCTCTACTCAAAGTTTCTTGAGGGATTGTCACATGGCGGCGGTTCTTTGACACATGAATATGGCTGGCTAGCATGGTGCTCAAACTTCTCTTGGCAGCCTGCAGAGGCAGCCTCAAGTCCACAGGTCTGGAAAGGGAGCTTGCTCATCGGTGACAGCCACCTTGCTCATCTCTGTTTGTTTTGAATTGAACGCATGACCCCACTTGGAGCCAGACTGGAAAGCTGCTTTTGTTGGGGAACATGTCCTATGCGCAAGTCAGCTACTTGGGTGAGTGGCCTGGTTTCTAGCACAGGCCACAAACCTCAGAAAGGCAGACACTTGGTTTAAAGCTTTGCTGTCGCTCTCTTGAAACTCTTTATCCATTTTGCACTGTTGTTGCTGTTGCACAGGGCCCCCCAAAAATTCAGGGTCCTGCACACAATTGCCCTCTCTCTGGTGGGTTTCTTGTTAAGAAGATGGCCCTTCACTTCATTGACAGCAGTGGCCACTGAAGGGTTCCTCGGACACAGCACACCGTCACTGCTATGTTTCTCTGTGGTTACGCAGGCCCTGACTTACGGCACGCCCATGCATAACAGAACCAAATGCTGCCCATCCTATGCCATCTTCACGGTCGTTGTTATGTGTGAGTCCCTTGTTGTAGGCATCGTACAGTGCCTTCCAACCTAGGGGGCTCATCTTCACTCAATAATCTGCCGGCTAATTTTCAGAAATAGATAGCCAGACCTTTCTTCCTAGTCTTAGCCTGGAAGCTCCACTGAAAACTGTTCAGCATGGTAGCAGCATGTAAGCTTCCACTGATGGAGGATGGCCATGAATGAAGTGGTTTGGCTGGGAATCAAACATGGGTCTCCTGCATACAAGGCAAGCATTCTGCCACTTAGTCCCTGGGCCTGACTGTACCACAGCCTGAGTTGCTCTTATGCTGCTCAGGTTCCATATAGGCCCTCTCCTTTCCCCATCCATGCCAGCTGGTAGCCTGCCTGAGAGCTTTCTAAGACAAACACCAGCCTGGGAAGCCATGCTCACAGCAGCCTTCTGCACATTTTGGACCAGGGGTGTTCTGGTTCCTGGAAGCCCCACTAGTCACACCCCTCCAAAACCAAGCAACAACAAAAATTAATCCTGATGACATGGAGTTGATTCTAACCCATGTGTTACAGAGTAGGACTGCTTCAAAACTTTTTGTGGCTGTCATCTTTATGGCACTAGATCTCCAGGCCTTTCTTCCGTGGTGCAGCTGGATGACTTTGAACAGCAACCTTTAGGCTAGTGTTGTGGTTGTTGTTTAGTACCGTAGAGTCAGTTCCGACTCACTGCGACCCTGTATAGAGTTTCTGAGGAGAAGCTGGTGAGTTTGAACAACCAACCTTGTGGCTCAAACTGACCTTTCGCTTGAGTGCTTATCTACAGTGCCATTAGTTGAGCACAAACCATGTGCACCACCCCGGGACCTTTCTCACCCCACCCCACCCCACCCCCAGCATCACCAAATTTCCTGGCATTCCATCAGTTCCTTTGAGTCATCTGACCATTGCTTCATTTTTGTTGGTGGGAGAAAAAAGCAAACAGCAGAAAGTTAAAACATTAGCGCTTGCTTCAGTGAACGGAAATAGAGTCTCCCGTCTCCTTTTAAATTTTTTGTCCTGAGAAGTAAACCTATTTGCAGATGGATTAAATGTTCCTCCTACCACCCTGCCCCCTGAAGCCTCCGACCTCTCGCTGTGTGTCTGGGGCTGAGGTTGGGGAGGGGAAAGTACACACATCCAAAGAAGGACGTCTGCCTGGGTTTGGTCAAAGAGAGCCCTTTGTCCTGACACTAAGCCTGGTGAACATGATTCCAGCTCCTTTGGTATGCAGCACACCTGTGCGGATGAGAAGCCCGTCAGGGGGAGGGGGTGCTGAAGGGGCCCCCAGAGCCCTGCACCTTTGTAGGTATCGCACCTTCTCCTTGGAGCCATTTCTCCATTGCTCCTTTGTTTTGGTGTGCACCTCCAAATACCAGGGAGTCCGTGTGTGTGTGTGTGTGTGTGTGTGTGTGTGTGTGTGTGTGCGCGTGGAGTCTGTTGATCTGCATGAGGACTAGAAACAGAGGAGGTAGAGAGAGCAAAGACAAAGACAGGAAAGAAGGGTATTGGCAAGGTCCCAGGGATGGGGGGCCAGCACCCCATCCCCGTGGCCCACCTGAGCACCACCTACCTTTGCAGGCCTTCCGGTGAGTGATGGGCTTGCCCATGTCTCGGTAGTAGCCCTCCTTGCAGTAGTGGCAGTGACGGCCGGCTGTATTGTGACGGCAGTTGAGGCAGACGCCCCCGCTCTTCCGCCCTGAGAGCTTGTAGAGTTCCATGTTGAAACGACAGCGCCGGGCATGGAGGTTGCAGTTACAGGCTTCAGGAGACAAGAGGAAGAGAGCGGCCATCAGCAAAGTGGGACAGGGACCCTGGGAGGGTGGGTTCCCCCTACCTCCTTCCTTCACTGCACTGCCAGACCCAATGAAGCAGTCGATTTGTTTCTGAAGCTTGCTATTTGGCTACCAGTATTGGCTATGGTAGCATAGAGGTTACGAATCGGGCTGCTAACCTCAAGGTCAGCAGTTCGAAACTACCAGTTGCTCTGCGGGAGAAAGATGAGGCTTCCTGCTCTCCCGAAAAGATTTGCAGCCTCGGAAACCTTGTGCAGGGTTACTATGAGTCAGAACCGACTCCACGGTACTTAACAACAACAACATTGGCATGAAGGAGTCATGTGGCATGTGGCACTGTGGGTTAATGAGCTGGACTGCAAAGTTGGTTTGATCTGCAAAGTCGGCGGTTCAAGCTCACCAGCTGCTCCTTGGAAACCTATACATGGTCACTATGTGTTGGAACCGACTCAAAGGCACTTAACAACAACACTGGCATCAAGGAGTTTGCTGTGGTGCTGTAGGACAAGCACTGAACTGCTTACCAACCACAAGGCTGGTGGTTCAAAAACACCTAGGTGCTACTCAGAAACCCTATGCAGGGTCTCTATGAGTCCGAACCAACTTGCTGGCACTTAACAACAACATTGGCATCAATACACATTTACTGATGACCTGGAACCACACCTGAGGCACTTGCTTCCCTCTCAGATGGAAACGTTTCCTTTACATCAACCCCACTAGTCCCCAAACCTTCCCACAGCAACACGCACAGCTTGGACGTGGGAGGCGATGCTGGCATCCTCCTTGTTACAAACACTACCTCCAATGTGCTGTAGATTCAATTGTGTCCCCCTCAAAAAGACACTGAAGTGACTGTAACCTTGTTGGAAATCAGGTTTTTGAAGAGAGATCAGCTAAGTAAATGAGGTCACACTGGAAGAAGGTGGGTCCTATCCAAAGAAGACTAGAAACACTGAAACTGGCACACACAGAGGGAGGACAGTCACGTGAGAGGTACAGCTACACACCAAGGAACTGCCTCAAGAAGTCAGGAGCCTTCAGAGGGTGCATGAACCTGCTGACAGCATCCTGAATTTGGACTCCTAGCCTCCAGAACTGGGAGACAATACATTGTCTGTTGTTTAGGACCACCCCTTTTGTGGTACTTTGTTATAGCAACCCTAAGAAACCGACACACCTCTAGCATCCCATATGCTCCCCACTTCTTCAGGGTCCAGGCCAGCAGACTATACTACTTTCTCTGTCTCCTGCTTTGGTACCTCAGCACTATCTTCCCTTCCATATCAACTTGGATAATCCCATCCAATGCCTGGTGGCTCTCTGTCCCTCTCAACACCACCCTCTTCTGCTTTCCAATGATCTTCCTCCCTGCTGAAGTCCCTGGGTGCTGCAAATGGTTAAGATGCTTGACATTCAAGTCTACCCAGATATGCCTTGGAAGAAAAGCCTGAGGATGTGCTTCCAAAGGGTCACAGTCTTGGAAATTCTATGGAACAGAGCTCTATTCTGCACACATAGGGTGTCATCATGGGTCAGAATCAACTCAATGACAACGAACCACCACCACAGACACACTTCCCATCTCAACACTGTTCACACGTGACTTGACTTGTGCCCATTATGTTGTTTCCAAATGATCCACTTCTACATGTTTCTATCACCCTGACAGGAGCTCAGTGTGCCAAACCCTCTGAAATTCTAGAATGCGCTGTATGTAAGGGCCTTTCTACCTGCCCCTTTGTGGCTTTCAAATGCTGTTCCTGTCCTCCCGGGACATCCTTCTCCGGGTCTTCCTCTTCACTTGGACTCAGCCTTTTCAGCTTGGTTTCAATGTCACTTCCCAGCCCCGTCTCCATCTCATCAGCCACCAGCATCACTTGGTTACCTCGTGCACCCAGGCAGGGCCCTGCGCAGGTCTCATCACAACTGTGTGAAGCTTCTAGTACCTTCTTATGGTTGCTCAGTTTCTTTGGGTTATCCTGACTGCTCAACTTGTATATACAGCTTGTTACCTGCCTGCATACCTGCTCATCTTCCTTGGACTTCAAACTCTAAATTAAGTCCAGCTTCGGTCTGTTCCTTCTATACCACAGTTGGTCCTGCTTTTATATTAAAGTTGTTTCTCAAGTTATATTTTATTTAATTTATAAAGAAATAAATGTTGAATTCTGGAAGCTTGGAAAATAAAAGCATTAAAAAAAAAAAAAAAATCACAACCTATTTCTACCCATTCTTGCTGAGCCTGGGGTTTTTCCCTTCAGGCCTGGATTCACCGTGCTCCTCTGTAAAGCTATGATTTAAATTTTTTCTATTAAAATGGATCATACTTGTACATCTAGTTTTGTAGCCTGCCTTTTCATCAGGATGAACATTTACTACTGTCAAACAACACTCCCCATGATTCTTAAAGGTTATCAAGTACTCCAGTGTGGGGACAGACACAGTGAGCTCCTGGGATTCTGCTGGGTAAATTTAGAATGAGGGCATTCCAGGGGGCAGTGATAGAGAGTCCTGGGGTGCATTAGGTTAAGCGTTAGACTGCTAACCACAAGGCTGTTGGTTCAAGTCCACCTGCCAGTCTTTATGAGAAAGATGAAGCTGTCTGCTTTCGTGAAGATTTAGTCTTGGGAACCTGCTGTCCTGTAGGTTTGCTGTGAGTCAGAATGGATTGGATGGAGGAGGTTTGGTTTTGGCTGTAGGGGGCATTCATCATTCATTGGCAGAATTCTCTCCTTCCACGTAGCAAATCTGGGTTCAACTCTTGGCAGCATACTCCATGAGGAACCAGCACACGTGTCAGTGGAGACTTGCTATGATGCTGGAGTCCTGGTGTGGCGCTGTGGGATATAGCACTGGTGGGTTTGAACCACAAGATCGGCAGTTCAAATTCACCAGCTGCTCCCTGGAAACCACACACAGGGTCACTATGAGTCAGAACAGACTCACAGCACTTAACAACAACAACAACACGATGCTGAACACATTTCAGGCGAGCTTCCAGATGCTCTGATAGCGCAGTGGTTACGAATCAGGCTGCTAATCTCACGGTCAGCAGTTCGAAACTACTAGCGGTTCTGCAGGAAAAAGAGAAGGCTTTCTGCTCCCATAAAGATTTACACCCTCGGAAATCCTATACAGGGTCACTATGAGTCGGAATCGACTCCACAGCACATAACCAACCAACCAACCATTCATCCAGACTGAGATAGATTAAGAAGAAAGGTTTTTGATGACTGACTTCTGAAAGTCAGATCCCACTGCGTATGAAGTCATCGAGGTGGAGGCTAACAACAAACACAACACTAGGACTGGGATGTTGGGTTGTGTCGACCTTTCCACCTTTGGTCACCACCTCTGACCTCACATACCTGCGCTGCTCTGTTCTGGCTGTTGCCACCCTGTGAATTTCCTCCAAAGAGAATTGCTGGGTTAAAGTTTCCAGATCGCATGTTTTAAACTTTGGATTCAAATGCTAAATTGTCCTCAAGAAAGACTGTATTAGTTTACACTCCCACCAACAGGATGTGACAGCTTTTATTTCACCACACCCTGAAGAGAATAACTGGTATCTGCATTCTTTCTTTCATTCTTTGCTTTTTTATCTTTGCCAAATTTGTCAAAACGAAAACACACATGATTTTAATTTGCCTGTCTTTGATTACCAGTGAAGTTGAACATTTCTCATGTGTTTATTTTTCTATTTATATTTCCCTTTTCATGCATTGCCTGTTCATGTCATTTGCCCAGTTTTAAAATAAGGTGTTTTTCTCATGATGTTTTAGTGAATGCGCGTAGATACAATGGATAAAACCCACTGATGTTTTGTACTTTGTGACTTAGAAAACCGTTTGCCTCTTTAATTTTTCTCTCTAGCTTTATGGTCGTTGTTGTTGCTAAGTGCTGTTGAGTTGGTTGCAACTCATAGCAACTCTTATAAGGTTTCCAAGAAGTGGCTGGTGGATTTGAACTGCAGACCTTGAGGTTCAAACCGACCTTGCGGTCCAGAGCATAAGCCCACAGGGCCATATCTTTAAATGCTCTTCTGAGAGCCACAGCCGCATTTCTCATGCATTCATCATTTTACAAGTAGGGATGGATGCAGCATTAAGAGGAGGCACGTGGGCTATGTGAGAGAAAGACTCAGCTCACGCCCTGAAGTCTAGAAGCAGCCAAGACACCAATGAGACCAGAGAAGGACTTTCAAGAGCTTCCCCAAGTGTCCCTCAGCACCTCCAGCTCTTGGAGTTGAGTCCAGCCAGTTCCAAAGAAAGTCACTTGCTATGCAGCCTGCCCTCCGATGACTGTCCTGCTCAGCCACTTTCACTGTCTCTTTGAACTCATTCAGACAGACAGGGTGATGGTGGGATGGGGGTGGCAGGGTGCTTATGACCAGGCCAGTCATGGACCATGGAGACAATTACTGAGGGTGGTGGGGGGCAGGGCAGGCGTTGCCCAGGTCTTCTGTTTCTGGTCCACTGCCCCAGTGGAAAGAACCTGCATCACTGAGGTCCACAGCTGGACCCAGACTAGAGTGCCCGGCATGCCTGCCTAGGGGCAGGGGTCTGGAAGGATCACTTCCTCAGGCCTCCCTTATGCAGAGGGCAGCCTAAAGAGCCGCACCCTCTGGTCCTTCTTGGGGATGATACCAATATCCTTCCCTGTCAAGTCAACTCCAGCTACCCTATATCCTCCAGTGTGCCTGGGTCCAGCCTCTGAGTCCCCCAGGCTTCTCCGTCATCCCCAGGGGAAGCTAGTGCTGGGGTCTCTCTTCCAAATGCACTTCCCACCAACAAAAGGCTCTTCCCAAACAACTGGTCACACAAAAGGAAACTCAGAGGCTGGGAATCAAAAGCCAGGGGCTCCAGCCCTCCTCCCTTCCTTCTTGGACCTGTCAGGGGAACATCAAGTGGCGATTGACCACACTCCCAGCTTCTGCAAAGCATTGTAAAGCTTGTTTTCTTTT